TGTTGAAACCGCCGACTTGGAGATCTAGAAAAGACACATTTTTAGAAAGTCGGTTATGCTTGTTGAAAAAATGTACAATCTCCATTGTTTTCATTGCTTTTTAGTCTACTTCAATTTTTCTCAATCAAATACGAATTCGTATCACTCGTAGCTAACCATATATTGTCTATTCACTTGCTGCTGATTTTCTTTCAACAGCTGACCTAGGCTAATATCTCATGTGTATCTCGTCGCCACCTTTCTATAAATCTTCTTGCAAAAGTTTGAAGGTAATGAAGCATTGACAAATACTGCGCGTAAGTGCGAAACATGTGCCAGGCAGTGAGAATTCTCAACATCAAAAATGGAGTCAAGCGATACCGGAGGACATGGTCCCTGACACCTAGCTCTCATCGCTTACCATACAGGCTAGCCTTGGTGGGTTCATATAGACTCAGGCGCTAGACTCGTTTAAAAATTCTCATATAGTATTGCAACAGTAACTTGCCATCCAAGCTATGCCTAGTTCTTGTTAGAAAGTAACCCCTGATGCAGAAATTTACTCTTGAACACAATTGAAGTGGCCGAACTGCAACTGCTCTGCCATCTGAATAGCTAAAAATTTTTTTGATATAAATCATTATATTTTCAGGCGTTTTACTATGGTATTAGACATTATGTGAATTGATAAAAATTCTTTCCTCTAACATTTTTGTTTGTCTCATAAGGAATAAGGAGGACACTCTACTGATTTGAAGGTAACTTAGCGACAAACGGTAACAGTCGAGCGGTCAACTAGTCGGACGAAGAGTTGAAGGTTATTGCGCGTTGAGCTGGTCCCGCTGCACTGATAGCGTTATTGCCACACCTTAGCATCGAATTGTTTAGTTGTTTAGGGGATGGGGGGTCGCTAATATAACACTTTATCATCCAATCATGTCTGAATTACCAAGATATGCCATGCGGTTTCCTCTTTCGTTGGGCCTGATAAAGAAAGCCCTCTCAAATCATGAAATTTCCTCAAAATAACCAGCAGCAATGATTATTCTGATCGCCCCAAACACAATGTCCGACAGGCAATGACTAGGAGAGAATTTCAATCTCTTGAAGATTTGGGGATCGCTTCTCCCTGGCATCGTGCGTTGTGTTCACGTCCTGCTCGCATCGCATCTCGGTTGCTTCTATTGCCAACCACTGGAGCCCTTAACTCATCCATCCCATCTGGCAAAATCTCACACTGGAACTTATATGAGGGAAGTGTTTTTTAAAATTCCACACCTCGGTATGAAGCCAAAAAAAACACGACTCGTAGGGAATGCACCAATATTCGGACGCGAGCGTCCGATGTCGTTAGGAGACAAAACGAGCAGAAAGCGAGCAGCCAATCGGTAAAGCCCATAACTCACAGCTATGCGCCAATTTTTCAATGGCGTCGAGTTATGTATCGGTTTCGACCCCCACCCTTCTGTTTTTGCCGCCGAAGACGTTTTGCACGGGAGTTTTGTGGGGGTACAAGAAAATCGGCTTGTCGCCCAATGCCCTACACTCCAATAATTTAGCTCAACAGGCTTAACTGGATGAGGGAGGCAGTGAACAGCTGATACATGGTATCGCCCAGAAGTGCCCGCATGCTCGGCGATACCAGCGCAGCTCCTGTTGCTAGTACCGTGCCGGAACTCACATGGAAGGCACAATACTAATTGATGTTCCGGCACGACGCTACCACGACGTTGGAACGGCTCTCACACGAGCAACCATGGACGCAGCTTAACTAGTAATAATTTGAAGACTAGGGGCCGCATGCACTAACATCCCCGCGGGGAGGGGATCGCAGCTTAAAAGAAAGCTTTATATTTCGAAACTCCAAATACCTGGATTTCACGTTGTGTACCTACCCGTAAGTAATCCTACTACCCTTCACTATGAACATGTTGAACAGGAGCGAAAAGCTGTACGAACCGCATTTTCCACCTTTTGTATGATCCCTGATGATCCCCGGCGCTTTTCTCAAAGTCATTTTTCTTTCTCCGAAGTTAACGAAAACCTTCCAAAGTTGTGCTGAACATCTAACACAACAGTGCTAAGCATATTGCTGATGAGAACAAATGAGTTTTTGAAAAGTCGAATTTTTCGGTAAACCTCAAATTTCGACCTGTGGATCATCGAAAATTTCATGACTTCAAAACATCATTTGTTCTTATCAGCAACATGCTTAGCACTGTCGGGTTAGATAATCTGCACAACTTTGGAGGTTTTTCGTTAACTTGGGAGAAAGAAAAATGACTTTAAAGAAAAGCGCAGGGGATCAGCAGGGATCATACAAAAGCTGGAAGATGCGGTTCGTACAGCTTCTCCCTCCTCTTCAACATGTTCATAGTGAAGGGTAGTAGGATTACTTACGGGTAGGTACACAACGTGAAATCCAGGTATTTGGAGTTTCGAAATATAAAGCTTTCTTTTAAGCTGCGATCCCCTCCCCGCGTGGATGTTAGTGCATGCGGCCCTAGGAATTTTTCGACGATCTCAAAGTAGATCATACGTTCAACTAGTACTGCATGTTTACTTGAACATCCATCTCATCTTCTGCTGTTCCTTTTCCTTGATACCTGCTATCTGCTCATCACCTCTCGAAGAATCAATCCAAGACACACAGTACACTAACTCAAAATGTGCTGCAAACAGAACAGTTTGCTAAGCACTTTTTACAGAATTGACAGGCCGCCACCTCAAATTAGTGCATACCCTGATTTGAGCACCAGTGGTCGAGTTTCAAGTGAGAATGACGGATTAAGCAGCATAAGGGTGCAATAAAGTGCGAAGACCCAGAAGTCATAGCTGAAACATGGCGTGAAGTGTCGAAAATTCAAATGATTAAGCACTTACCCAGTGGCATGCTATCAAAAAGGCAAAAAATATTTCTCCGTCTTCCTCATGAGATGGTATCGGAACTTGCACTAACCTTCCCCCAATGAGCATGCACAGAATATTATAAGTATTTGAGCGCATCATTAAGACCGGCTCAAACGCTGGTTACAAGAGTTCAAATCTCTTTGAGCTGGTTCAAAGGCACTGTCTCACAAAGCTTGGCTGTAGGGACTCTTGCGCATTACAAGCCTTTCCAACCCTGCCTAATCCTACGCGAGTTTCAAATCACATGAAATGCTCGAAAGCCCCATTTTTCAAAGGCCTCGAGAAGCAAAGCGGACGAGTTGCGCCTTGTCACTCCAGCCTCCGCCACAGTCGTAGCAACGCCATGGAGGTGGAGGTCAGAGGTGAAAGTAGCTGATAAAACGCGTAAGGCCATGGGTATACCTCACGCGATCCAGTCGTCACGCGATCTGGGCACTTCGCCAAATGTCTTCGAAATCAATTCTGGCAGACTCCAAATGCACAGCATGTATAACTTTCGTAGGTTGATAAAATGCCCTAATATCCGTACAATTAGAAACCCTTTTCGATGAGTTATAAAGTATTGGAGTATTGCCAGATCGCGTCGCGACTGAAATCGCATGGGGTATGCCCACGGTCTAAAGGAAGAAACCGGAGAAGTTGGCCGTGCGGATGAAATCGCTTGGTGCGGACTACTTTAAGCGTATTTTTCTCAGCGTAGAGAGGGTCAAATCGAGTCGTTTTGCAATGTCCTATTTAGAGGGACCTTTGGTAGCATATGTGGTGTCGACCTCAGATTTGATGAGACAATTCTTTAAGCTTGGTTTTTCATATCACTTTACCCTGAGTTCATGCGATGTATTTCGGCCACAGAATGCTAGAAGTAGAGACAGTCTGTACAGTTCCGAGCATATATTGTCTAGTCCAAAACTTTTTGTCTCCGTATTTTTTAGGCAATAGAACGAAATGTGAAAAACTCGATTTCTGGCTCTAAAAGACCCCCTTATATAAAGGAGATGAGCTTATATCAATCAAGTGATTTACAGAGAACAGCTAATGAGTACGAGAATGACGTCCTGCGATCCTTGTCTACCGCTTAGAGCTGGTCTTTTCACCTCTCCTTTGAACCTGAATGTCTATATGGACATCGTAGCCTAGCATTTATATACCAGTGTGCTTTTCAGGGACTTTCTGGAAAATACAATTCTGGAAGGCATTTGCGTGAAAGAGCATGAGCAAAAAAGAGAAATTGCCAAAAAGTTGAAGCGGAATCGGTTTGGTAGGAACGATCTCACACTCAGATAGACATTTTCAAAGTCTGGTAGAGAAGAGCCCTGAAAGCCAGGGTCCAGCGCTCAAATAAAGCAGTCGTGTATTATTGTATGAAGATTTTTCCTACGAATAAAATGCTCCGATAGTCAATACTAGATCACTTGAGCAATTCTGATGGACTTTATTTTAGTTGCGCATTACTTTTTCAACCCGAAAAACGCTCACAATTGGGCGCGCAAAGGTGCTCGGCAGATAACGAACAGTGATTTGGAATCTCCTTCCAATGCCTGTCAAAGTGGTATAAGAGTCATCTAGGAAGGCCACTCGACTGATGAATCTTGTCTTGCTAGTATGACTCAGTGGTTTTCGTCGCTAGTCTGAGTAGTGCCTGAGAGTGAGTGGTCAGGTGAATTGAAGCATACATCAATGGAACTTACTCGGATAATTCGTGCGTTACTATGAAATTGTTCGAGGAGTAAGTTCCAGAGCTAGATATGAATGACTCTGCAGAAATCTACTAACAGATAGGAAATGCGGACATTTTGAGTTTTCATAATGATGGTTTTTGTTCGATCCAGAAATGTTGTGAGATAAAAGATATGTTAGCATAAAGAACTTGCGAACAACGTCCTACATTGCGAAAGAATTATGAATTTACTGCAGTGAGAGCACACCCTAGGCTGTTAGAAGAGACATATTGAAAGGTGGACTTGATTGCAGTAATAGCCCTGGAAACAGAGACTCATTTCCGTGCCCTACGCGTGCATGTCCTTTAAAGCACGTTTTGAGTTTGCAATTGTCATTATTCGAGTAATAGCCGAGTGGGCGGCTATAATCTTTGAAGACATATAGCCTATTCTATGGTCATGGAGGACCGGGTAAGCGATGTTTGTTTTTTGCTCAATTGCTGTGAAACTTTTCGACCATTTCGTTTGACGAATTCATTTTATCACCATAAGATAACTATTTTTTTAGAATTTCCATCTAATGTCGCGTGGTCGTCACACGGACGATATCCTGAACATAAATGTCGGCGGAAAGAAGTACACAGTAAGTTTGCTAAATTTATCCATTCTTGGCTGATAGCAACAGACAATCACCGTCACAGCGGCTATTACAAGCCCAGTCAAGTGTTATTTTACTGAAAATCGTGCCACTATTTTCAAATGATTGAAGAACACAACTTCAGACTGAAAAACCTCTGGCTCTTCAGGTTCGACGTACAGATATGCTAGCCGACCCGCGCTCAAAACTTGCGGAATGGTTCAAACCAGGCACGGTCAAACCGATAGCCACAGACAAGGTAAAATCTATGAAAACTAAGTCGTAACGCGATGGACTCCTCTTTTTGACATTACAGGGAGGCAACTATTATTTGGATAGAGATGCAAAGACCTTCCGACACATTTTGGCTTATCTTCGTTTGAAAAAGGAGAAGTTCGTGCCATCACTTGCTTTGCCGAGTAAACCAGATGATTTAGCGAAGTGAGCACTTAGACCTTGACCGGAAATTACAGCTAAGTGGTAATAACAATTCAAATTTTTGTGGATTTCCGTTTGGTGCTTAACTGCTAAAAACGGGTTGGAGCAACCTTCCCGGATCCCAAAGCAGGGAGGGAAGTCGTAGATAAAAAAGTCATTACGATGGTGGATAGTTTCTCTCAAATCTTTGCAGTTTTATTGGCAATCTAAGCAGGCTACTTTGCAATAATATTTTGGACCATTCTTGAATTTTTCCTATAAATTTCTCAAAGCACGCAAAAAAGCTTTAAAATTTTGTCTTTCGTTTTCAAGATTTTGAAGTATCCGACGTTTATAAAAAAGATACATACTGCCAAAATTTACTCAGAAATTTATGGGGTGCTCAAAAATGTGCCTGCTGTCTGTTTGCTAATAACTCTCTTGTCATAAAGTTCTCGAGGAGCTTTAGGTACCATTAGAGCTGGCTTCAATTTAGTTTTACAGCATGGAGAAGATCACCCATCGCTCTTCGTTACTCTAGGCTTACGGTAGGAACTTTAAGAAGGGTTCTGCGTCATTGAGCGTCATCTTTTACCCTTGAGTAAAGGAGCTGGGGAAACTCTTAAAGTAGGTTAATCAGAGCCCATGATTCTAAATGTGAAACTCGCACTTCACTGCAACGCTTTTTTCGTAAGTTATGCCGGATATAACGTAGCAACCAATTTCTGATATTCGTCTAAATCTTGATTACGCCATTTGAAAAGTTCTGCGAGCATGCATGAGAAGCTTGTAACATGATTCTTCAGGATTGTTTCGAAAATTTTTCAAAAAGGTGATCCCACAGTGGCGCCATATCCTGCGAGTTTGGCGTACTACAGTCTGAAGAGGGATAGGCAACTCGCTCCGTACTGTAAATCTAAGCTGAAACCAGTTCTACAAAACGGCCACATCTTCGAAAGATTTCATGACAAGAAAGTTACTGACAATGAAACAGTAGGCACATTTTTGAGACACTCCGTATATGAGAAGAGGCGCAAGTAAAGGCAGAGAATAAACAAAAGAAACACACCCAGTATGTTGACGAATCTGTTGTAAAGTAGCTGGCTATGTACGCATTTGCGGCATCGATCTAGCCTATGGGTAGATACAGTTATTTGGATATGAAGCGAAGGTACAGGTTTTCTGGGACTTTTGAATTTCCAAGGTAGGTAAAAAGTGTAACAGATATTATCCGCCAATCTTTTGCATAGATTAAGGACTTATTCTATTTCTTCTTAGCATTTTCTTGTGTGAATTGCATTTGCTTTCTATCTCAAACCTTTGTGATTGAACGAATTCAGAGTCGGGCGCCTCTTGCCACATTAAGACATCAACATTGTTAACCATAATCTTATATTCCAAAAAGTTACTAACCAGTATGCGACGCTTGTTGTGAAAAAATTTTCAGATTGGTTGGTGAATGTGAAGCATTGAATTTGGCCGAACTGAAGGATCTTGCCTTGGATCTACTCCAAAAATACCAACGTACCGAAGAGCAGCATTATGTTACTTCATTTGTACAAGTCACACTGCGTGATTTCGAGAGTTGGCAGTTCGAGAGGGAGCAGGTAAACAAATAATTAATAATAGCACAGCTTTCTTATATGATTATTTTGACTCTATTTAAATTTTTATACAATCTTCTCCGGTTTCTCGGTCATCCAGCATTATCAAAACAAAACTAGTTAGTCTCAAGAGCAACATCATTTTACCTGTCGTTAGATTGACCAATGTAAACAAAAAGCGTGGGTAACTGCCCATCTTATATGCTATTCTAAAAGTAACTTCTTTTCCGAACCAGTTACGTCTATTCTTTCTAAGCGGCGAAAATTTTCAGTAAAGGTATATTCTAAATGTTGTAAAATGCACATTCGCACTATAGGATGCATCATATGACTTTTGTAAATAATTTACGTACTTGACAGGTTCTTATCTCCAGCAATATCTACTAGTAGCGTACGAAAAGCTTTTAGTAAGACGTTCTCTGAGAAAGAGTCGAAAATTGCCATTTCAGGATCAAACACTCACCAGACAGTAGAGCTAATGAAGTAGGTTCACTTTTGACTCGATTCGCGCACAGCTTATGGCTATGTTTTTCAATCAAAGTTTCTCATTTTTCAGTTATCTCATAAATGTTCTCTGTTAAGCATTGAAAGGTATCGGAAACGTCAATAAGTTTTGAAGTATTGAAAAAAAATCGACATAATCCTTTCCAACTTAAAGAAATGTTTGCGATAATCTTTCACCGTTTTTTAGCTTCATGGCCAAGACCATGTTTGGCGTTTTGTATATTAGCCAATACTTCCAGAATCAAATCGCTTTGACGAAAAAGCCATCAAACGACGAAGAGTATCAACCACCCTCAGCCTACGACGAATGGGATAATCTCTAGAGATCAAATTGTTTCATTTTTTTCTCCTGCTTCATAGCACTGATGACCAACATTTTCATCTTGATTCACATTTTTTGCAATTGGTGTTTTCGCTTTGCTACTTGTCAGCATAGCACGGTATTGACTGATCTATTTGGGATACATGTTTTATGAGGATTTTGCAAAGAAACTTCATTAACATTTCAGCATGCTTTTGTGATTTTCAACTGAGCAGGCTATCTTCAATCGCAACCCCTTATTGGCAATTTTGCATCGGAACCACCCCCTAACTTTTTTTCGTGTACTCTCTACTCAGCAAAAGTGATTCGCTTTGCATTGTACGTGGATTGTGCCAGTATTGATAAAGCTTTGCGGAAATTTAGTCTAGAAGTTCTGAATCTTGGAAATGTCTGTAAGTCGAAATACAGAAAAGTTGAATTTGTCTTGGCATGCTTACAATTACATTTCCATTCTCAAGTCATCTGATCTAACTACGTCTTTTTGATAGTGAGTTAGAGCAGATCTCCACCAGCTTTCTTGTATTCCTACTTTCTTCATTGCCTTTCTTGGTTATGAATGCAATCGCGAAAACTTTTTTGTGTGTGCGGCGGGAAGAGTTGGGTGTTTGCGGTGATTTGGTTTCTTGCTGTGACTGGATGAATTTTAATTAGCCAATCCTTTCAAACTTGTGGAGGATATTTGTTGAACTGTGCCAAAACATGATCGTCAACATCAGTAAGAGGTTGCTTGTAATCACCCTCTCACACTACATTTGTGTAATCTAAAGTAATTATGCTTGCAGACTCAGCATTCACTCGAGCAGAAGCTAGTTTATATTAGAATGATCGCAAATTAATGGGACACTCAAAGAATAAACGCAGTTTCTCAAGCAGAAAATTTTATTGGATCCCCAAGTTTTGGCAGATATCAGTGCATATCAGAATCTTCTGTTGGAGGTTATAGATGGGCATTGTCGCATGGCGTTGTTTTCACAAGTGCTTGAGACCAGAGCTCTTCAATCCAAGTAATTTCGAACTTCAAGCAGTACCGTCGCAGGAAAACAAATGAGGCTACCAAAAATAGCTTTGCCGCAGTGGGTGAGGAGACCATCATCGAATCTACTGCCTCCTGGTCCCAACACTTTGCAACAGAAGATATAGCATTAAGTATCAGGAATTTTTATTCTTTCATCGAGAAAGCAGGATGATATCGCCTCCAACGGTGAGCATCTGAAACAGCTTTATAAGCTCTTCCCATGCATACTGACCTCAACTTCTCCTATTTTCAAAAAAATTCTGGGCCAAAACATGTTTTTCAGCCAGAAAAAACGCAAGATACCGCACTTTATCGAATGATCTGCCTCTTTTCTACAGAATAGTGTTGAATTTCCGCACGAACAAGTAATCATTTGAAAGAACTAGAGGCTTTTCGAATAATATGTCACATGACCAGGGACGTTTGGTACAGCAGCACAAATTCGGATAGCGTTTGAAAGAAGCGCCGCTTGAAGGATTGTAGCAGAGGAACTGCAAGGTGATGTCAAATTAACATGCAAACCACTCTATACAAAAAAGTTTACCATCGTTTGTTGTTTATTGTTGATCCGAGGGAAAATCTGCACTATAATAAGAAATGCCCCAGCCCCCACAATGGTCGGCCGCCTCAACGTGACGTGGGGTGACACTGGTGGGTGTCGAACAGCGATGCACAGCCGAGTGCATACTCTGGCAGGGCCTCCCAAGCTGTGAAGTTCGACGTTTCCGGTTTCGACCGGATGCCTAGCTAAGAGCCGGCCAGGCCAGATCCACTGCCGTCTGGTTTTGTGGTCGCGAGGCGGTTCTCCCCGCTCCAAGCCCGGGGTCAGCGATCGCCCCGTGAATCAAGAGTAGGCCTAGTAAGTCTGCTCTTGCAGGGGACAAATTTTATTATAGTGTGGACCCCGGCCAGGTTCCCATAGGTACTTCCGCCGCGCGCACGCAGCGCGCGCCCTTCTTAATGCTTCTGGCCTCACTCATGAGCAGTAGAGCACATTTATGCTCACAAAGGAGAAAAATGTAAAGTGGAAACCTCTAGGTTCACTTCGAAAGAGAGGTATGCAAGAACGAAACGCATTCAGCCTTCATGAGTATCTCAAATACAATCAATGGATGCATATTCCGAACTTACACTGACGGATAGGTTGTAATAGGATACGTAAAGAAATTAAAGGACAACATCATACTTAAAACATTTCTCTTCGTTGACGTAGAAACTAGAGTAGTCAAAAATTTCAAAAAAGTGGACATTTCAGTAAACAAATGCCTATTGGCCTCTCGGTAGGCTCAATTTTGACTTGTCTACACCTTACACATCAAACCGAAAGGGCTCTTATTCTATACAAGAAGCTTTTGAAGGAATATTATCTTAATATCCAATCAAATCTCAATTTTTCAGAGAAAAAAGGGAAACACAAGACTACTACACAAGACTGAGGCTCTTAGAACTACTAGAGCACGTGAAATCTTGCCACCGGTCATCGCGAATTGTTTATACCTGAAATAGCGAGAATATAGTACACCAAAAACAAAAAAAAAAGAGAGAAAGGAAGATTTCCACTAGAAGCTAGGACAGGAGACGCACTGAAGGCGTGCGTTGCGGGTGCGTCGCGCAGGTACCTATGGGAAGCTGGCCGGGGTCCGCACTATACTCGATCAGCAAAAAGAAGAGAGATAAACCCTGCACATGGGATAACGCCTATGGCGCTGGGTGGTAGCAAGAACGATATCAGGGTCCTTAGGACGCCTTTTGGATCGGACAAAAACGACACGTCTGCCCGGACGACACGCCATGGAGACTGCCTCATGCTCTGCACCACAACGCCAGGACAGTCTCCACAAACGCCGACCTCCACGCTCTTCTCGACGCTGCAGAGCACATCAAGTACCACATCATCGCTCTGCAGGAAACGAAGTCCAGGAAGAAGGACGTGCGGCGAAGTGATGGGACCCTCATCATTCGTGGTGAAAAGGTTCCATCACGAAACGTGGGAGGCGTCGGCTTTGTCGTCCACCCATCTATCGTCCATCTTGTCGATTCGCATGAGATCCTATCACCTCGACTAGCCATCCTACGACTGCGACCTCCACGTCAGAAGGCCATCAGCATAATCAACTGCTATCCTCCAACATCAGCAGCTGACGAATCAGAGTTCGTCCGCAACGAGAAGTCCTTTTACAAGTTTGTTATGGGCGACATCAATGCGAAAATGGGGATGCCACTAGAAAAGGAATATAGGATCGGGAAGTTTGGATATGGGCTCCGGAACGAAAACGGCGACCGCTTTTCGATCACCCTAATAGTTCTCTAGACATGAACCGCGAATGATTAGAGAGGGCAAATTGGAAGAAACATTGCGTCATTTCTTGTTACTATATCGCATTCTATGGAGGTATTATGACGTGCAATGCGTCAAACATACAGGGTGTCCCAAAAGTAAGTACACACTTTTCAATCGTTAATATCTCTCTTCCCAATGTGTCTTTTTTCGCCACTTGAGAACCATTCTGTAGAGGAGGCTTCAACTTAGATTTACTGTGTTGAGCGAATCACCGACCGCTCTTCATCACTGTAGGATTACGGTAAGAACCTCGACAAGGGCTTTAGGCCATTGGAAGCCATATTCTGCCTTGGAACAAAGCCAAACAAGCTAAAAACTCTTATACTAAGGTAATGGAAGTTGCTGATTTCAAATATGAAGTTTCCACTTCACTATGATGCTTCTTTCTAAAGTTATCCCAGGTAAACCGTAATATCCAAATTCTCGACATCTGCCAGAAATGTGATTACACCGTCAAAAAAGCTAAAAACACTCATAAAAAGTTGTGCAGTGGAATCAGCGTGCGCGAAAACCCTAGTACACTATTTTTCAAATTTTTTGAAAAAAATTTTGTTAGATGAGATATTTCACAATAGTTCTACTTGCTGGAAGTTCTTACCGTAATCCTACAGTGATGAAGAGCGGTCGGTGATTCGCTCAACACAGTAAATCTAAGTTGAAGCCTCCTCTACAGAATGGTACTTAAATGGCGAAAAAAAGACCCATTTTGAAGAGAGGTATTGACGATTGAAAAGTGTGTACTTACCTTTAGGACTCCCTGTATAATCAATGTCTTGTATGAATTCGTACGACAAAGTATCCGGAGTCCGCAAGTGCGAAAGGTTGCAGCGGCTAACCAGCGGTCAGATCTCGAACAACGCACCAGGAAAGGCAGGAAGTAGTAGCTCTACTCAATCCAACCATCTCGCTGTGAAAGCTTACAGAACAAAACTGGGGGGGGGGGGATTTAGACAGCTTCTATGCAGTTGACTCAATCGACTTTTACAGACTGTCGGATGTGTAAAACAAGGAAACTATCTGCAGTATATACCCATTTATTTTCAAGTAAACAACGGGCACCGCCGATCTCCATAAAAGGCAGTGCCACAAGAGTTTTCAATACAACAACTTTTTTCTCGAATTCGGTGTGAAGCTCCAACGATAGTAGAGGTTATCAGCGATTTGTTTTCACAAGTCATAAGGTGTTTGTTACGCTTCGCAAACTTTTTTCTTCGCAGAACGATGTACACGCACTGTTCACATGTTTCTTTTGAATGTATTATATTAAAGGCTCACAGTGCACATGGAAGACGTGAACAAACAGAGGCTATTAAAAAAATACTTGTTAAGTAGCAGTAGAACGATCGCCCAGTTATAATACTTTTTGATGGCAAAGTGATACAGCAGCGATATAAGTCTTTTTTTACGTACGATCAAAGTAACGCTCGTAAACAATTGATCTACGCTCGCAAAAATTGGTGGCTGCGTCTTTAAGCGGACAGCGAGGCTGCAAGTTTGTATAAAAGCAGCTGTCAAGACCACAGATTTCATACACTTTAATTATTTTATGTAAATTAGCGTACAATACTATACCCCTATAAAAGCAGTTTAAGTGTCGTGCGCGTGTACTCCTGAATTCTATCAATCATTTTTTTTTTGAGAAAAT